ACTCAAGATGGCGATTTGTAGGTTTAGCGTTGCCTTCGCACAATCGATTTACCGTGTAAGTGATGTCAGGTCTGGTGCCTGTCGAGAGGTAATTGACCGAGCCTGTCTTTTTCAAGTAGGGCTTCCCTTCGTTGGGGAGTAAATCGCCATCTTCCAAGACGAAGTTGGGTGGCCAAGGAGACTTGACGCCGTGAAGACCCTCATACCCAAACTTGGATATCAACGATCTGGTGTATCGTTCCTGTGTCACAAAGACTGTACGTTGTGAGCGATTCCGAATAACCTCGTAGCCCAAGAACGTCTTGACTTCTCCCAGGTGTTTCATCTTAAAGTGTTGAGCAAGCTTCCCGCTAATCTCGTTGATGGTATCGACAGTCTTTGCTGCAATGAGGAAGTCGTCCACATACAGGACAATCATTGCACCAAGCTTGTCGTTACGAAAGAGACAGCAGTCCGCACCAAGTGGCTCGAATCCACACTTCTTCATGACGGGAACCAAAGTCTTGAACCAATATAGAGGGCTGCGCTTGAGGCCGTAGAGTGCTCGTCGCAGTTGACAGACCATGTCGTGGCCTTTCTCAAGGCCAGTTGGCTTTTCTCAAGGCCAGTTGGCTTTTCTCAAGGCCAGTTGGCTGTTGGACGTAGTAGATATCGTCGGGTGGAATGGGCGCGTTGAGAAAGGCCGTGTTGAAGTCGAACTGGTGACATTCCAAGTCCAAGGCAGCTATGAGGGCGAGGAAGGTTCGAACGCTGACGCTGTTTGCCACAGCCGCGTAAACATCTTGGAAATTCCAGGCTCCGTCTTCGAAGTTACCGCACACCACCCATCTTGCTCGGGCAGTAAGCTCACAGGTATGTGGATCCATCTTTTCGTCGTATACCCATTTTCCTGGCAAGACCTTCATACCATCCTTCTTTTTGACAAGGAAGTACATCTCTTGATCTTCCAAGGGCTGGACCTGGCGCTTCATCGCTGGAAGCCACCACTTCTCGTAGTTGGCCAAGCGCCGGGCCTGACGATAGTTCTTCGGGATACTAGATTTATCAAGGTGTCGAAGATCATTGTCGACTTTAGTGGAGGTAAGACAGATAACCTGAGGCAGAACAATGCGTGGTTCATCAATACCATAATAAAAGACTGGAAGAGAATAAACTTTGGGTGGGGAATTACCGTGAAAGAACACCAGCTTCTTGGTACCATCAGTGACTTGCTCCTGGCCATATTTGAAACCTTCAGGTTTCTGTGCCGCAGCTCGTCGAGGTCGAGAAGAAGCTTGTTGAGGTTGTACCGGTTGCTCCACCATGTCCTCTCCAGGGGTAGGGGGAGGGAGAGGGATATTGGCAGGGGAAGGGGAAGGCGGAGGAGTCTGGGGTCGAACTGCCGAAGCGGCTGTCACGCCCAAATTTGGTAAATCTTCCGGGAAAGGGTGTTTCTCTGGGGGAATGGGAGCCTCTCCTTCCAAATCTCTGTAGTCCTCGTCGTCCATCTGAAAGTTGATTTCTTCGACGGGTTCAATAGAGGGAATCGCTGTCTCAGCGGTAGTCTTCTCAGACTGGGCTTGGGTGACCTGTGTAGGCTGTGAGCTAGGGTCTGGTGTAGCAGAAGGCGTGAGATATGGAGGTTGAAAGGGTTCTTGGACGGGTGGCGCTTTGAGCGATGAGTCTTGGGAAGGTGGCTCCCGTGCTTTGGGGCTTTGTGGTTCTTCCTCGACATCCGGCTTCCACGTATTTTGCACTATTACATAGATGTTCTGGCCTTTGGCGATAACCTCCTCAATCTCCTCAACAGTCTGGTCATTAAAGATGACTTCATATTCAGTATCCTCGACAGGAAGATCCTGATTGTTGTGATCACCCTCATGGAATCGGACAGCACTTGCCCGGACGACTTTTCCCAGTTCTTCATCCCAAATACGGTAAATACGGCCGTGAAGGTCATCGTAAGCAATAAGCTTGCCCTTTCGTGACCTGGGAGCGAACTTGTCGCCTTGCACTCTCTTCTGAGGTTTGATGTGATAGTAAGCAGTACAGAAATAGCTGCGAAGGTGGCGTATATACGGTTTGACTGACGACTCTGGCAAATTGGCTTCTCTGGCGAAGAGTTCGTGAGGACTCTTGTGTTCTGGGTTGGACTTGGAAGGTAGAAGATTGAGAATCTTGACTACGCTATCGACGACAAAGGGCCACAGTTTGACTGGAATCTTGTGCTCGATAATTAAGGCACGGCTGCGCGTCATGATAATCTTGCCCGCCGCTTCTACCTTGCCGTTCATCCAGGGTGAATGGGCCGTCGACTTGTAGATCTCCATGCCTTCTTGTCTTGCCCACACGACAAGCTTGCTCTTCTGGAAATCAGAGGTTGACAATCCAAATTCAGGACCGCCATCGATGCCAATAACCTTGACTTTGAGGCCGCTTTGAGTCTCCACCCAAGTCTTCCATTCTTTGATGGCTTCAAAAGCATCACCTTTATTGGCACAGAACCGTACCCAGTGATAGCCTGTAAGAACGTCGACGAAGTGGACCGTATCATGGTAGCCAAGGTGGCCTGGTTCCTTGTTGTAGATGACGTCAATCCTGACGAACTCTAATGGCCTGGTAGCGACCGGGTGAGAGGTCTTGGGAATAACGTCTTGTGACTTGGCGAAGATACAGTTCTCGCAGAAGTCGTTGTTGACGTTCTTGAGATCGATCCCAGCATCCTTGCAAGCCTTGATAACCGTCTCCTTCCCGGCGTGCATCAAACGTCGGTGCATGGTCTGGTAATTGATTGAGGCGAGTAGGGCGTGGCCGGGGGTGATCCGATTTTGACTGAAGTCGGGAGGCTTGGAAGTCGGTATAACCGGTACTCCTCCTCGAAGAGTGCCACATTTGGTGGTCTTGGGCGTGTGAGCGTATACAATAGAATTGGACCGTATATTCCATTCCATTCCAGCGTCGAGCATTGATTGTCGGCTGAGAAGGTTAGCGGGTGTAACTGGACAATAATAAGCATCTTTGATAGTAACTCGAACAAAGGCGCCGTCGTCTGACGGTATGGTGAGCTCAACAGTGCCCACATGGTAGGCGTAGTGAGTCCTACCATCACCTATAACATAGATCATAGGTTGAGGCAAAGGTTGCAAGTCGGTGAACCACTTGATATGGTTGAAGATCGTGGTCGCCGCACCGGTATCGTATACAACACTGTCTTTGGTGAATGCCTCATGAGCTTGTTGGACTTCAGCGAATAAGGGTATCGCTGGGAGCTCTAGTGAAAACCCGCTGGGTTGAGTATAGCGCCCAGCATGCTGAATTCCGGGATACTGTTGGCGAACAGCAAGTTGGATCCAGTCGTGGCCGGATTGTTGAGATTGCTTGAGTTGTGGACGACAAGAGCGGTAGTGCCTGTAGATGTCTTCTGCAGAGCCTTGATGGCCTTCTCTTTGTTCTGCCAAGTAGCTGGTGCCTTGTCTGGTTCACACCACCAACAGACGTCATTGTCGGGGTTTCTGTGATGACCACAAGCGGCATGGACGAAGCCGGTAGGAATCTGACGCTTGCAGCCGGGATGAGTGCAGTCGATCATCTCGCGTCGGCCTTTCTTCTTGTCCTTCTTGTTGTTGCTGGACTTCGTATCCTCTTTCTCCTTGGTCCCAGCCTTAACCTGCACCGACAAGGCCGGCGTCGTGGCCTCGGTTGTCGCTATGGTATTGAGCTTGTCGAGCAAATCGGACATGGTGAGGTGACCGTTGGTCAGGTCGTTGACCCAAAGACGGTGATGGAGAGGATAGGAGGATTCAAGTCCGTTGAGAAGGAACCAAATCTCGACCTGAGGACTGACTGTAAGCTTAAGATCGTTCCAACGTTTACGAAGAAAGAAATGACGGTTAAGGAAAGAAGCCATGGAGTCAAAGGAGGCACGGTTGAGACTGGTATACTCCTTGATAACCATGCCGATGGATTCCTGGGAGACCTTGGGAACCACACGCTTGATGAGGTCGTAGAGGCGCTTGGGGTCGCGGTCAGCAGGATTCCAACCCGAATTCTGAAGGAGAATCTGGACATTCCGACTCTTCATGGAATTCGTGATGGCAAGTAAGACACGCGCGCGTTCAACACGCCAGTTCTCGGCAGCCTTCTTCTCAGCCGCAGTCGGGGCGTCCGGGTCTTTTGGAGTGGGAGGTTGAACATCCTCGTCGAGATAGTTGAGTAAGCCGTACACGTCGAGAGTGTTACGAAGGACGTTGTCCCAACTGTCGATGTTGGACTCACCGAGCAACTGCTCGATGTTCATTCCGACCTCCAAAGCCATGATGACGGTGAATGAGAGTAGACTGAAAAGGAAAGAAGACTTCGCTCGAAGCTGTAGATAACGACGTAAAGGAAAGGTGACGTTGACAGAAAAGGTGATGAAAGAAAGGTGAGTCGTATGAAAGGTGAGTCGTATGAAAGGTGAGTCGTATGAAAGGTGAGTCGTATGAAAGGTGAGTCGTATGGGCTAGATACAACTGTTGATGGAGGGCGCGATGCGGGGTCGACAAGAAGGCCGCGTTCGTTGATGGGCGTGCAAATCAATCAAAACACCAGGACTTTCTCCCTATAGGGTGTGCTTGAATTTGCTGTAAACCTCGTAACGAAGCGGCTCGATTGTTGACTTCGAAGATCGCGAAGCGGTTAAGGGCGCATAACCTGTGGGAAGCTGATGATATTGTGGTTGATTCCGAAAGAAAGCGCTACGGGAAGAGAAAGAAAGAAGGAAAAATACTGGTGTGGTCTGGAAGTGAAAGTGGGCCAAGTGCCAGCCAACCTTACCAGGTGGCGGCGGCCCAACAGAAAGCCAGAAGGGAGGTTTTGACAGGCCGCGCTCGAGCTGGCCGCCAAGAATATTGTGGTCAGCCGCAACTCCTGGTTGGGAAGAGCCTCGCGGGAGGCGCAGCAAAGGTGCAGCCGCTAGACCAGTCACAGCCCCTGTACGAAGCTATGTAAGTGGTGTCCAAAAAGCCATCCGACCCCAAACCTCATGACAAACATTTAAATTCTCTCTGTGTCTCTATATCTCTCCCCTGCTCTCCGTCACCACCCCTCCCAAGACGGCCTCTCCCCTCTTCCCGCCCGTTTCTCCAACCCAGCTCCCTCCAGCAAAAATGACCATCCAAATCGTCCCCGGCTTCAGCCCCACCAACCGCATCCTCCTGTACGCCAGCCTCGCCCTCTCCCCGGCGCAATTCGTCTCGGGGCTGGGCAACAACTGCCCCAGCAACCTCGGCTTCTTGGCGTACAACCTCTACACCCAGGTCCAGTGGTACCAGGCCATGACCGGCTCCTCGGACGACATCCACGCGCTGTCCCTGATCCTGCCGCACTTCAACTTCCTGTACATGCTCTCCTACCTCGGCGGCGTCAGTTCGGGAAATGTGGCCATGGGCGCCCTGCTGGGGCTTGGTACGGCTGCTGTGATTGTGCTGAACACGGTGTCGGCGTGGACGGCGTGGGCGGTGTACCAGCCGCAGGGGTACGGGGTGTATCAGTTCTTTTTCTTTGGGTGGCGGACGCTGGATGAGGGGTGGCACAAGTGGTTGTTTATGCTGTGGCAGGTTTCGGATTCCGGGCTCGCGCTCGCCGGGATGGTCGCGGCGATTGTCATTGTTGTTTGGTTGGCGGTTAAGGAGCATGTGGGGGACGGGTTTGCGAAGCGGGTTAAGTGGTGGTATACGTATGCCGCGGTGCCCGCGGGAGGGCTGGTGATGTTGTTCGTTGGCTGGCCACTTATTTTGTGGACGGAGCTCATCATCTCGCGGAACGAGCTCGAGTCGGAGACGGATATGGTCGCCGTGTGGCTGTTTGTCGCGCAGGCGGTGACCATGTTGCTTCCGAGCTGTGGCCTCAGTCTGTCGTGCTTCCGGTGCGGGCTGGGGCGTCAAAAGTCTTCTTCGGTTGTCTAAAGTAAATCGTGGACATAATAGCAGTCGGAGCTTCCCCGTGGTTAATCACTCGCTCGTAGTCGGTTCCCCGTTCCCAATTGATGATGGCTACTTTGTAGGCCGCCCTTTGATGTGACATTGGCCCCATCCCTTGGTTTATTTTCCCTCTTGGCGTGGACTTGCCTGAACGGCCTTGCCCCTACTTGGTATGATGGGCAAGCTTTGGCAAACAAACCCGCCGGGGGCTTGAGAGCAGCCCTCGGCGAAGGGGAAGGTTGTGAGATCACGAACAACGAAATCAAGCGATTGTATGAGGTTGATTGAGTGTGTGTGCTATCGAGAGGATGAGAGACTGGCGAGGCTGGAAGGCTAGAAACGGTGGGGTCTGGGCAGGGCACGGACCCACCAACAAAGGTCCCTGCTGGGATAGCGGGTCTATGGACGGGGAACTTGTTGGAGGCACGTGCACGGGTGCCATTCAGGCACACCACACACGGCCTCTCTTCCTGGCATTTTAGCCCTCCAGACCTCTCCACAGATTCTTTCTCCTTCTAGCAACTCAATACAACCATCAACTGCTTCATTTCGTTGCCTTGTGCGTCGCACAGAACTTCTTAGAAACCTCCCACCTCTGAATCAATTCAGAAGTAGATCGCTTACATTGCGTCTGTTTGCTTGTTGTTACCTTCTCTCTTGATCTGACATCTGCCGCTGAACTAATCTTGCGTCTCCCCATAACCCGATTTTTCCCGTCCTCTCGAAACCAAAACGCCAATACGCCCCGTTTCCTCTCCCCACCAACCAAGTTTGGTATCACCAATGAGAAAATTTACTTTCCAGTGCGCCTCAACCTCACCAACCCTCTTTCCTCGCGCCTCCACATCCACTCTTGCAAGGGCGCTAGGATGGATAAATCGAAGACAAAGCCTGGACTCCATCTATGACAGAAGATTTAAGGTGAGGAGGAGAAAAAGGAAAGGAACTAGATACATACGTGCACATCCGAATAAATACCCTGGTTGCACAAGCGACAGCGGGACCCACATGCGGGTCGCTGACAGAGTCTGCCAGCGCCGTTACAACTCTCCTCTCCTCGTCACTTTACTCGCTGTCTTGAATAGTCCATTGTCAGCTTGCCAAGCACGCGATGCCTTTGAATGCTAAGAATCGTTATGGAGGAGTTCGGTGCTCTTTATCGACACTCTAACTTTGACTGTTGGATTCTGTGGCATCTGACCATCCTTTGTGGTAGTAAAGCAGGAGTGCCAAACAGACGCTAGTCTTGATTGGGAAGTATGTTGTTATCCTGATTATACGCAGCATTGGAACCTCCAGAACGCGTTTCAGCAAGAGAGAGGAGATTACGATGGAGCGAGAGCGAGACGAAGTTGAATAGGGCGTTTAAGCTTTATGGTGTTTTGGGAAACAGTGATTGTAGGAAGCTAGATCACCGAGATAGTTACACTCAGTACTGTACTGCTTCTCGATCTCGATGGGCATGTACCAACAGTCTAAAAAGCTACAGGCAATATTAAGATACTCATATACTCTTAACTCCCAATGCCAAAATCACAAAAGACAAATTAAAAGATATTCCTCTGTCTATTATCCTTCCTGTGATAAGAGGCAAAGATAGGCCGTTGGCAAAGGGTGCAAATATCGGTAACTCATACCATTTGTCACAGATAAAACGAATAGGCTGAGACAAAGCTGCAGAAATGCACCTTTATTATGTTATTATGCCATAGGAAAAGTTAGGTCTTAGTACGCATGGAGCCATGCGGTCCGCACAGCTCTCCGTTTGATGATATGTCTTGGTGCACCTGTGGTAGCACGTGCCTCGGGGACGGTCACAGATATATTACTGGATCAGAAGGCCGTGGGTGGCAAGGGAGTGCTAGAAACGCAGCCGGATATTAGTGGTGTAAGGAGAGGGCGTATGAAGGTTCGGTGCTGCAGTGTGTGCGGCAAGCCTGGCCATAATGCACGCACTTGCCAGGATATTACAGAATCGTCTAAATTTAGCTGTTTCCGATGTCATTGTAGTTGGTTCCTAGTGTTAACGTAGTGCATTCGTGTGACGAACGGCAGTCTGATCTGCCTAAATGAGATAGCTGAAGGTAGTAAACTATCAGAGTCGTTCGGTGAAGCCAAAAGGTTCACAACAAGTATGCGTGCGTGATACTAGTCTCGGTGATAAAGATCAATTGACTACTGTCGAACTATCTGACAATCTGAGTTCTCCAGTCGTCCCTTTATACTCCTGGCCGTCCTGCCTGTGTGCCTGTTTTGCATGTTGGCTCACGATGCCTTCCTGCTTACCGTGAGCAATGGCTCACCGTGAGCACTCTCCTACGGTGAGCGCCCTTCCGGCCAATCCCCGTCTAGGGTTACACTCAACCATCTCTAACAGTGCTGTCGCGTCCCAAGGGCTTGGTCAGCCCCTGTGTCGCTTAAGTTCGTAACAATTCGAGGATAGTTGTTGTAGGGTAGTAGAAAATTGATCCACTTGCTCATATGATCCACCTGTCATGGGGGGCGAGCAAGCACCAATCTAAGACTTTGATTGTTGTGCGAAGAACAGGAAGAGAATCCTGTGCGCGCACGAGAACTATGTAGGACATGACAGCAGTCTGTGGACTGCTGAATGTACTGCAGCCAGACAGCTGCACTCAGCTGGCTGTACTACTGCAGCACATGTGCATGTGCACCTATATACAGGAACAGGCCAGTAATGCCTGTGACACCACCCGCTGATAATTTACGTTACCAGCTTTGCTATTTGGCACCGCAGTTTGGCACCCTGTTGAGTGCAAGGCTCGCCGCATTTTTGACATGGCGTGGTAACGTATATGTAGGATCATCTCGCCTCCATGGTAATGCACGGGCATACACTACCTTGTACGTAATGCCAACACGTCGTTATGAGCACGCAGAGTAAACGATTACCTTTCACGATGAAACTGTTGGAATGTTGGGGTTCGGGCCGAGTGAATTGTAACGGTTGAAGCATCGTAGGTATGCGCCGTTACAGCTACATAAGACCACTTGAGCGACCGAACTGCCAGCTTCGGTTACTTGTATCCTTCTGTAGGACCATGGTCTAGTTAGTGTAGTGGTCTGCCACCGCCGTGACATGAATGACCGATTAGTCGTGTGTATATAAGGACTGGGAACTTCCCTAATCTGTTCGGTACCTCAATCAAGCAATAACTCTTATCCAACATCATACAGTTTACGTGTATAACGGTGCCTACCTTTAACAGAAACGGCCTAGGAGAACAGCTGTCCATCAGCACGGGGGGATGAGAGGCGAGGGAGAGTAACGAAATTTGACATGCCTTGAATAAGAGTCATTGCGTTCTTCTCGGCCTGCCGGAAACCAACACCAAAACATAACTTGTGTCCGGACTTGCATGACATTTTGGCGTCACATGACAGCTCGGGCTCCTGCGGCATGATTTTTGATGATGACAAGCCAAAGAAGAAGCGGCCACCAATCGATTCTACCGTGCCGCTCAAGAACGCTGTCGATTTCGATCCCATCCCGACCGAAATCTCTGCCCATCGACTTCCAAGCCTTGAGTGAACAGCTCTTGTATCTGGGGCGGCAGAAGCGGATCAGATCTCTCTTCGGGTAAGACAGGCCGGGCTGGTTCAGGTCTCAGACGAGCAGGGTCCATTTCTCTGTAAGTCCAGGAGCGGGTGATCGGGTACAGTTTGATCAGGGGCACCGCGAAGTTTACGCATCTGGCTCTGCGAGGCTCGGGCAGGGTAGGCACGGCTGGTAACTGTTTCTCAATTTCTGGTGTTACGGGTAGCGTAGGGGGCAAGATCTCAGGAGTTATGGGTTGTTCGAAGTTGTCTATCTTGAATACTACTTTACTCTGGTGTAGCAGGCGCTCATCCCCTTCCTTGGGCACTGACCTCCTGGTTAGAGTATCGGGCTTCGCTCCTTGCTTCCCTGGGCGGTATATGATCTTGAAATTAAAACGGGACAAAAATTCAGACCAACGGGCTTGTCTTCAGTTTAGCAGCTTCGTCGTGGTGAAGTATTCCAGGTTGCGGTGATCGGTAATAACCTTGATCGGAGAGCTCGTCTCCTCTAGTTCGGGTCTTTATTCTTTAAAACAACGGATAATCGCTGACAGCTCCTTGCCATAGATCTCCTAATTACACTCCCTAACTGAATGCTTCTTGAAGAAGGCGGCGGGCCTTAAAATGCTGTCGTCCTCGTACTGGGATAACATCCCAGCAGACACATAATCGGACGCATTGGTCTCCAGAATCACTTCTTTTTCCCAGTCGAAAGGGGCCAGGACAGGAGCAGTGGTAAATGCGTGCTTTAATCCGTCGAATGCTCTCTGCCACTGGTCTGTCTATATGAATCGGGTTCCCTTCTTTGTCAAGGACACAAATTTAACCAGTTCTAATGCAAAAACTCGCTATAACTCAACAATCTCGACTCAATCAACCCCTGCCTTGACTTCTAGCCCAACATCCTTTAGTGATGTTTCTTTGAATACAATATTATACTTACCTATTGTATCTTCAAGCTATTCTAATCGGCCTAGAACGAAGACGTGGGGTTGTAGCCTTATCCGAGCAAGGGAAGTGTATACAAAGGCAATTCGTGCGGCAGTAGCCTACGGAGCGTCAGCGTACCACACGCCAACTGTGACAAGGGCAGTATTCTGGGCTTGGAACAGTAGTTCAATTCAGCTGATAAACTACTTTGGTCTTGAAGGCCTTGTTGATCCTTTCAAGCCTTTCCAATTGGGCTAGGCTCAATAACCTTCTTATACTAAAGCCTTCCTTCCTCCTATTGAGTACGTATATAAATCTGGCTACTTTATCTAGCCGTAAGGCTATAAGGTATGTAATAAGCAGTGAGCTATTGAGGGCTTATATATAGATATATATAGGGATCGTCTAAATGCCTTCCTCTAATATTTTCTCGTCGTTTAGCACTGGCGTTATCGCCGATACCATCCTATCGCAATAGTTGGTTCTGAACTATAGTCTTCGTAATAGCTTACTAAGCGAACTATTTTAGTATACGCTAGCGTAAGGGGTTTGACAAATTAAAGGGAACTTTAGTTTATTTAATAGATATACTATTAGCTAGAATACGCTATTAGGAATAAGGGGATTTAGAGATCCCAATTAAATTATACCGTAGCCGGTCCTAAATATTTAAAGTATTTATACAAGGTTGGGATAATTTCGGTAAAGTTGGTAGGATTAGGTTATATAATACGGTTCTATAGGAATTATACTATTAGGTCGGGGTATTAAATAATTAAATTAGGGTTAAGGTTAGAATATCCGTATAATATTAGTTCCCTCTTTTTTAAGGTTCGCTTTAAACCAGTAGGGTTAATAATATTAGTTTATAATATTAAAACGTTTAGAGCTTTAGAGACGTAGAGATTATAGGGCTTGTTTGGCTATCGTTTATAGAAGGTAATAACCTATTTTTTAATTCTATTAATAAAGAAGTATTCTTATAGTTCTTAAATATTATTTAAAATTGCCTCACCTTCTTATTTAATTTAATAAAGTACTTTGGCTTTAATTACTATAAAATTTACAATTTTTTTTATTTTATAGTCTTCCGATTTAATTAGGGTTACTATACGTAGGATTTAGTTAGGGTTAAAGGCTATTTAATTATTAGTATGATAAGGTTTTAAGAGGGAGATATAAAAGGAATTGTAAATTCGTTATATTTTCGGTAGGGCTAATTAGATAACGGTAGGGGATATTATTTAAATAATTTTAAAAGGATTATAGAATTTTTTATTAAGCTTTTAGGTAGGGTATTTAATTTTAATATATTTATTATTTAATATAATTAATTATCCTACTTTATAGACCGGTACTTCTATTTATTTTTTATCCGCCTACTCCTTTATTTTTTAACGGGCGTAATTAAAATTC